AGAAGCACATGACAAACAAGACGACGAAGCAAATTAGCGATAAAAGGAGGGGCATAAGACTACTAGAAGCCAGAAACAATGTTGCTGCCGGGAGTATAACCGTCGAAACTCTCCCTACCCACGTAATACCCATAGAAGAACCACATAGACAAACACAAGAAGAGGAAAACATTAATAACGGAAGTGACGCAGTGTCTAGCGTGGAAGACACACCGGTACCACAGGGGAATGAACTCCTCGCTACAGACAACACCTGCAACCTACCGGACGAGGCGCCAACCAATGAAACAGGTGATGCCGGGAATATTACATACGAAGGGTCCAACGACGCGAGCAGTGAAGAAAGATCACAATGGAAGGACATCCTGTCCAACTGTATCCTTGAGCCACCTTCCGGCCCCGAACTATACAAGAAGCTGCAACTGAAGCTTGTTGAAATTTGGAAGGACTCACGTGAGGACAGCTGCTCCTTAGGGCAAAGACTGGATGCCTTCATTGCCACCGACCTTGTCCCAACGCTACGGTGTGGGGCTAAGGACGGAGAAGAGGGAGACAACCAGGCAGCCCCATCGAGCAACCGGCCAACCACTAGCCGACGAAAGGGTACTCGGCAGAAGAATAACCGAAATAATCGGAAAAGAAGAGAATACCAAAAAGCCCAGGATCTATACGAACACTGCCCCAAGAAATTGGTAGAAGCCGTTATGAACGGAGATAAAACGGCCTTAGGAGGAAGAATTGAACCGCCCAAGAAAGAAGATATAACAAAATTATATAACGAACTATGGGGCATCGAGGGCCCAGCTGCTTCTGAATGTTCCAGGTGCGGCATAAATGAAACAGCGAGAGCAGTCAGCACCAGTGAAGTGTTCACCCCAGTAACAACGGAAGAAGTATTGGCCAAGATAAAGAAGATCAGAGGGAATACCGCCACAGGACAGGATGGTATCAGGAAAAGAGACCTCGCTAGGCAAGGAGTGAGCGCGCTGCTGGCAACCCTGTTTAACATTCTGTTACGCGAAGGCCACTTTCCAGCACCATGGCTTACAAACAGGACGACACTCATTCCCAAATTGGGAAAGGATGAAGCCGACGCTAAGAACTGGCGTCCAATAACTATCAGTTCATTATTAAATAGAATATTTTGCTCATTGATAGACAAGCGACTGAGAGCCGTGATAAGACAGACTGTCCGGCAAAAGGGCTTCACCATGGAGAACGGCTGCAAGGCAAACACTGCACTCTTCAAACATGCAGTGACGGCAATGAAAGCGGGAAC